CCCCAAAACCCCAAAACCCCAAAACCCCTAAAGACCTAATATAAATTGAATTCAAATGGAAGACCCCCAAAAATTGCCCAAAGTCAGCCAAAACCCTGAAACCATCAAAGACCTCATCAAATTTGTCAATGAGCTGAACGAGATGCGCTACACTGGCGATACCCTGCTCCAAACCCTGACGAGGGCTTTGGCAAAAACCTTCATTGGGAAGTACGAATTTGACAAAACTATGAAATAACATCCCTGACACATCGGCACTAACGATGGTTAATAATAATATCTTCAGGATGCAGAGCACGATGGATGCCCATATTCTGAGGATAAATAAGGTTGAGCAGACAACCAATGATAATGAAGTCAGGTAAGTACCCTACCAAAACATGTCTTGGGCCAAGAACATCTCAGTACATAGTAACAAACTTCTTGGGGCTTTTCGTAACATGTTTTGGTGAGCTTCCAAACCTGTGTGATGATGTGATAATTCTTTAGCATCCTGGCCCTGAACAACCTAATGGATCGGGCAGCCACAAAGAACGACGTATCCTTCCTTCTTGAAGAGATAGGCAAAAAAGCCTCAAATGATAAGGTCATGGAAATGGCAGAGGAATTCGTTTAAACTTGATTCAATGGAGCAACTCAGTCAGACGGTTGATTTCCTCAAACTAGAGATTGACGAGAGAGCAAAGATTAATTTTGTAAAATAACCAAGTAGATTCACTCTCCAATGAGTTCAAAGAGGTGATCTCAGATTTTGCCACTCATCAGTCGGTCGCCTCAGCAATTTCGATAATTGAAGCTAAGATCAAATAAGGTCAAAAGAGATTTTAAAAGAGAGCTTGAATGCCTCTATGTGATCAACGAGCGCATCGAAAAACTCAAAGAGGAAGCTAAACTTTTCATCAAGAAGGGGCCCTTTGAGGCAAAAGTAGCCTATCTAGATGAGAAACTTAAGGATCTTGATAGCTGTTGTAAGTTTGAACATCTTGAAGCTCATATGAACCGTGTGGAACCAATGATACAGCAATGCCGGAAGGGACTTGATGACTACAAAGATGACAACCAGAAGCAGAAGGAGATCCTATCTAGGTTTGACGAGGTGTTGCTTCAAAAAGCTTCTAAATTCTCCGTCGAGCAGATTGAAACAAAGCTGAGGGATTACTCGCTCAAGGCAGATTTCACCAATCTACTAGATCAGATAAATATAAAAACAAATGAGAACAAGAGCTACATCCGAGAAGTTCAGAATTTTACGAATAAAACTCTCTCAAAAGCAAATTCAGGTAGGCTTATATGTGTAATTCTCAGACATTATCTCCAAGATTTATGAGATGGAGAAAGCTGTCCGGGCACGAACCAATGAGTTCCTTGAGAAGAACACCATAAAGCCAGATGAGATTAAATAAGCTCCTAGCCGCCAAGGCTAATTACTGTGATGTGATGGATCTCAAGAAAAAGGCTGACATCACAGAGACTAATAAGAATGAGATCAGATTCAAGACGAACGAGAAGCAAGCAGAGCACATAATAGTGCTGCTTATAGAGACTCTCAGACTTAACCTCAAGGAAAGCAGCCATTTTGGTAAAAGTACAATTTCCCAGTTTAAGTATATCCTTAAGCAAGCCATTACTATTTTCCAATGGATGACAGAAGGAAAGACCAAAAGAGAGATTTTTCTGAAGGCTGGAGAGGAAATCAACATAGCTGAGTCAGAGAGTGGGATGCTGAAAGTACGCCAGATTCATTCCTCTCTAGATAGAAATCCTCATAGCTTCTCTACCACAAACCCTTTACTTGCAAACGCGACTCTTGATAGTGTGACTAGGCCTAAAAATCTAGACCTTCGGGATGACTGGTTAGGTTGCACCTTCGAGTCAGGTCTGAACTCAACTATTCTCCAAGATATGAGTAAAAATTTCACTATAAAGCAGAACAACAGCCAGAAGGCATCACCAAGAATAGTCAAAGAGCCCATGAGGTTGCATACCTCTAAATTTTCTAACAGAAAAGCAAGCATGCACTTATCTTTGCAAAGTCGGAAGTCTCGAGTTCAAGAGGAGCCTAGCAGGGCTGTCAAGAACCTTCTGGCTAGCAGGAGGGTATCGCCATCCAACAAAGTCCCGAATGCTAACTTCCCAGACCCCATTCCTAAAAGGACTAAGCGTATCTCCCTCATAAAGACCAGCACTGCTTTAAAGGATATGGTAGTCAAGGGTGAACGAACAATGGCCAAACAAAGGCAGGACCTACGAGAGACACTGACAGGCTCCAGGGCCTAAGCTCTCCTCTCAGTTGTATATCTGGCTATAAACCTTAGATACTTTTCAATTAATTTTAGGAGAAAGGGGTTTTGGGGTTTTGGGGTTTTGGGG